ATCCAATTATCTTTGTATTCACTTTTAACATCACTTTATTATGATAGATTTTGTAATTGTTTCTATTCAGTTTAATGGTGAGCATTTCGCAAGTTAGTGTTCAACTCATTGGCAATTTTACGTTCACCTGGCATCAGTGGCGGCGCAAGGTCAGTTTTTCAGGGGAAGCAATAAACTTTAAAATGAAATTACGTTCGCTATAGTCCCTTTCTCTCTGTTCGCATAGTACACAATTTTGAGGAAGCAATAAAAGTTTATTGCTTCCCCCAAGTTTTTTTAGGGGAAGCAATTGCTAACCCGTTGCTTGCTAGTGCGCCGCCACTGCCTGGCATTGTTTGCAGCAATTCGTTTTTAAATTCGTGTCTTCTCTCTGCATGATTCTTTACTTCTCAAAGAGTATAAAATTGTCCATCGTCAAAATATCCGTTTGTTTTGACATGTGTAGAAGATAAGGAAATTTTGATTTTTACCAGTTTAGTATGTATTTACAGGACGGATAAGCGGCAAATTGCTTGTGTCAACATTAGACAATTCATCACAGCCGTGTATTTTAGAATAACCTTAATATTATCATTCTTTTTAATGGAATTAAATATGGAATTTTCATGTGTTTAGTACAAGAGCAACCAACCAAGTAGTGCAACAATAAAATATCTGTCATTTACAAAAAACTTTATCGAAATGTTAGACCATCATTAAACATAAAATATTAAAACACACTGTATTTTTAACTAAAAAACAAAACAAAACAAAGTATCTATAGCACACAGTCAATTGACTGATGATGGTTGAATTGAATTTCTTTTCAAATCTCCAGTTCGACGCTTACTAAAATTTTCAGAATGAAATATAATTTCATCTATAAAAAGACAAGAAAACAAACAATATTTTGATTAGTATGTACAAAAATTTAAATAATTTTGGTATCTGTTTGAAGATCAGTTCGTTGATCACATTTAAAATTTAAAAAAGAAAAGATCAATTTGTTTTTATTATAATTAGAAATAAATAAAAAAGATATTGAAACGGTCACGATTTTGCATCATTGAATTTACAAGAAAATTTTCAACCAAGCATTATCATATGTTGTTCGATATATTGTTCGATTTTGTTCACGCCACAATTTAAGCCGTTCATAATGTTGAAGAACAGATAAACAACGTAATTTTTTAAATGTTTTCAATATTTGATTAATATCTGACGTGTCTGATATGTAAATTTGTAATTGTTGTAAATTTGGAAATGTTTGTTGCATTTGTTCAATTAAATCAAAACGATCAAATACATCACCTGTTGATAAATAAGTTATATTTTTAGTACTTGTTTTATTTTCACTAATAATAAGTTCAATTAATTGTTTTGAACTTATAGAATTTAAACGTCGTACATTTGGAGATGATAAAAGACATGAAAGTATTGATGATGGAATGGTTTTAAATGAATTAAATTTAGTACATGTAAATGTTAATGATACTAAATTTGGAAAACAATTAACTAAAGGATAATCAGCTTGATAATAAACATCTAATTTATCTTGAGTTAATATTAAATGTTTAACATTGGGAAACATTTTTGTATAATCAAATAAATACTCATACAATGATGTAACAATATTATTACATGATAATGTTAAATTTAATATATGAACATTTGAATAATATCCACTATAATCAATATCTTTACTCTAAAATGAAAAAGTGAAAAAAAAATAGAATTTAGTATTGTGTGTTCACATTATTATAACTAAAAAGAGAATATAATTTGAGTATCATTATCATAGAATCCATCTCTGACATTTGTTAGTTCAATACTACGTCTTCTAATGTTGAGAGACAGTTTAAAATAGGTTATCTCGTGATTCATTTCAAATTTGACTTTGTAGTAAGTGATTTTGTTGAACATTAAGTTAATATGAAAACTTGATAATATATCAGTCAAAATCATCAAGGTTTAAAAAATGTGTTTTGATCATCAAATTAATTAGTCAATCGAAAAGGATCACAATGTTAACAAAAAAAAAAAGAGCACTTTTTTTTATCCAAACTATTTTATCAATTCAAAAAAGTTATAAATAATGTTAACCTCCTAAACTGTACACAACGCCATCAAAAAAATGATAATGGCACGTTTTCTGTACAGAGCAATCCAAATGATGAAACTAGAGATTTACCAAAGTCCCAATACAACGTATGTCAATGTCGTCGATAAGATTTGAACAATCATATAAAATATTAATGCGGTGAGTACAGAAAATACCCTTTATGCTCTTTTGAACTTCAGATAATCGTACAAGATGATGATATACAACCAGTGACGGTTATGTCAAGGAATGTACATGAACATAAACAAGAGCAACATAATACAACAGCAGGTTTATCAGCACCCATTCGAAAATCTGTATCCAAGTACATCAAATGTGGCTTATCACATGCACAAATTAAGTCGCTCCTAATGCAAGATCATCCAAGCGCTCCGTTAATACAAACAAAATTAAGTTTAATAAATTATGAATGTCGAAAAGACAGATCAGGGGCCTGTTTCTTAAAAAAACTTAAGTAGAAAATCTAACTTAAGTCAGATTTTCTACTTAAGTTTTTTTAAGAAACAGACCCCTGGCCCCAGAAATATTTTCAGCGTATGATTTACGAAGCGGGTGTAACAAACACGACGAAAGTATGTAGTTTCATTCAATGTTTGTATCCTTCTATAAAACTGATGATATCAATAATATTTTCATCTCCTTCATCCCAAAAAAACTATTTCAACAAATACGATTGACAACGTATTTACAAATTCATGCAACGTACAAAATCATATGGAATGACTTGCCTCTCCTGATGTTTGGTTCAACTGATGCCAATCGTCATTTTAAACCATTTGCTATTGCATTAGTTTCTCATGATGAGAATGCCACATGTTGTAATATATCAATTACTGTTCAAGAATTCGATCAACCATGTGTAATTAATCATTGGCCGCAGACTTGACGTATGATGTGTTGCAGCTACATGAATATAGCATCGTAATTCAGTCACTAAAGATCAATGAATAAGTATCAATGCTGATATTCTACTTTCTTTTTCAGATAACGTTTTCAGTCGTCCGATGAAACTATTAATCCAAAAAACAATCCATCGATAAAATGGTTTTATGATTATTTTGTTGATCAATGGGTGACAGAATTACTCTATTGGTAGGAAAATAAAACTAACTCAGATTGCTGTGAAAACTACGACACTTTTCTTTCATTTAGGTATTAAAGTGTCAAATATTTCATCACTATTTGCCTTGTAACAGGTATAGCGTCTGAAATAAAACGAAATGCTGATAAATGGTCAGTAAATATAAATCGCTCTGATATTCTACATGAATTTAACACATTTTTTGGCCCATCATCAACTGCAACATTAACACCAATGTTCATGGAATAAATTTGATATCAACACCATCGGTCTAGTTGGATATGTGTCGGTTTGACCAATGGACATCGTTCGATGGCTTTTTTGAATGGCAAACAACATGTGGGTTACTTTCTCCGCTTACGTCGTGTTCATGTCTCGTCGGCCTTAAGTAATATACATGGAAACACTCCGCTGACTTGGCTATTGTATTTAATATGTATCAAATTAGTGTTAAAAGTCGTTGTGAACCTTTAGGTAACACCATAACCTAAAGATCGTCCAAAAACATTCCGGACAGTTATGTTGCCATAAATTACTGTTTTTTTACAAATATTTTTATGTTCATCTACAACATGTACGTTCTTATTTATTTTTTGTGATTAAAAATATTATTTCCTGTAATTATCTGTAATTTGGTGATAAAGAGTGTTATTTTTCGGTACTCATTACGATAGAATGAAATTTAATGATAAAAAATAAATACATACCTAAGAAAATTCATTTATTAAAAAGTCAAATTTGAAATAAGTCACGAACTGACCTATCTGAAACAACAAGAATCTGACTCTTAAGCAAATTTTGTAAAAAAGAAAAGAATAAATAGACTTACTTGCTCTTTGAGAGTTGATCGTGTTTCTAAAATATCATATGTTACTGTTGACATTAATCTAAATCCATATGGTATAGTATATAATACATATTGAGAATTATCCAAATTATAATCACATTTTACTATCCATTTTTTATCTATTATCCAAAACTGTTCTTGAAATGGTTCTAAAATTTGTTCAATTGTTATTGTTGGTTTAATAAATTGTATTCGAAAATGAAATGTATCTAATTTTTCTAAAGATTGTTTTACTAATTTACTATTCCATTGTTCATTATTTACTAATGGTGTATTTTCATCTTTACAAAATATTGATAAATATTTTAATGATGGAAATGAATTTCGTGTAAAATGAATATATTCAATTATTGTTGATATATTAAAAACATATAATTCTAAATTAATTAAATAATTAAGTGAAAAATTAAATAAATCTTTAAGATTTGTTAAATTTCTTAAATTTTTTATTTTTAAACATTCAATATAGGGAAATAAATTATCTAATTTTCGTACAATTGTTTTAGAAAATGATTGAATTTGTTTTTCATTTGTTAAAATTAATGAATGAACATTTGAACGAATATGTGGCATAGCAAATACTTGTCTAAATATATTTTCATTAATAGTAGATGATGTGAATGATAAATACATTTCATAAGAATATAATAATTTATTAAAACGATAATTTAAATTTGAAAATGAATAGAGAACATGTAATGGATCTAAATATTTAAATATATCAAATACAAGTTCATTTGGAATAGTTTCTAATGTTGACATTTTTTTTGTTTTTTTTTTATCCGTTTATAATACAATCTAGAGAGAAAGAACGAAAAACTGAAAGATCAATAATAGTTTAGATAGAAAAAAGTTTTGGGTCAATCAGACAGTTTAGCTGGTCTGTTCAAATCTTAGAAAAAAAAGAAAAGAAATCTTTTTTAAATGAAGAACAAGTTTTACTTGAATTTTTTGAGAGCAACATATCTGTTTTTATTGTGAAATATGGTTTCATTTTCAGCGAATCAAGTATATTTATTTATTTTAAAATGATCGATATAACTCGATCATATTCGTCCTATGTTTCTATTTTACAATGTTTGACATTCGAAAAAGACCTTGTTTCATACTATGTTTACTTCCAAGATATACTATAGAGTGTCGATGTTTAATTCTTGATAATTTCTTAATAAAAATAAATTTTAAATTTTAAACTGACGTTTATTTCATGATAAAATATTTAAGAACAGGTGTACAATTCATCATCTTTGATCGACATAGAAAGCTACTGCACGTACGTCACTAACGTGATGTTTTATTTTTCAAAAAAAAATATATATATATATATACGCCAGAACAAAACACGAAGAAATGTTATTTTACTAAATAAAACAGTTTAAAGTCATTTTTTTCTCTTCACCACATCTGTACATGGTGAAGTGAAATCACAGCTTGCAGATAATTACAGTTCAAATATCACCAATGATCATAGAAAAATTTTGTTTTGCAATTATTTCATGAATGAGTCTATATCTAAGTACACTCTCACAATAAAAGTAACAGGTTTCAATAAGTAATTTAGTACAGCGAACATCGTTCACAAGGTTTGATATCTTGACGTTAAATCACCACATAATCGTACAATATCAAAAAATTTTTAAATAAACAAATATTTCTCGAAATATTCGAATATTGAGATGTTCCAAAACAAAAAATATTATGGAGACGCTTTTCTCAATTGCATGCGATAGTATTTAAAACTTTATTTGTACAAATAATTCAGCAGTGTACATTTATTAAATATGAAATTTCTAGTTCAGCTCCCTTGAACGAAAATGAATTATCAGTTATTTTCAAAAGTCTGTTATGCAGATATTCGTAAATAAGCGAAATGTTGAAGAGATCAGCTCTCAAAACAAAAAAAGTTGAAAAATTACGAAAAGAACAAGATCTTCTGTAAAACTCTCAGGAATTGGAACTGATCTATCTCTATTGTTTTATTCAAATACCGTAGAAAAAATACGGAGAGTACTATTTTAAAATGATACTAAGAAAAGAAGAAAAGCTGTTTTCAATCCTGGGTGAATGTTTTTCGGTCATATGTGCACAATAAGCAGCTAACATATGGTGTTTTCGAACATAATGCTGATAGTTAAATGTATCAGCTTTCTCAAATCTTGACAATATATAGTGTAGAATGTTATAATTTAAATTTGACAAAATAATTGTCTTCATTTTTGAGATAAACGTAAAACAAGGTAAGTATTTGTTAACCACAAATTTGCTATGATTTTATGGGAGTTAAAATGAGTCAGTTCGTTTAGTCAGCAACCAATTATTAGATGAATAAGATCTGTTATTATTATTATACATTTGTCATTAAATGCTGATATCAACGATCGAATGATCGTCGTCATTTGTATTAAACTGTGATGGATAATGTTAAAATAAAATGATTATGAATAATTTAACCATATTTGCTCCAAGTCTACCCTATTCAGGCATAGTAAGTTTCAATTTTATATCCATTATCTCCAAATTTAATTTTGAAAATATTATCTGACATCTATACTGTGAAGATCAGTAGCATGAAAAGGTGGAATCTCAAATATGTGGAACTCAAATTCATTGGATAGAAATTTGGATATGATCAGAAAATATTAAAAAGTCTTGTTTTAAAACAGACAGATACCTTGGACAAACACGAAAAATCGATGATGGCGCTATTGAATACCTTAAAATAGTGACATACAGTAGCCACACACTACTAAACTAAAATAAGAACAACTGACACATAACAGATGCGCACTTAATAATCCAAAAACAATTGAAAATTAGACATTTAGTACGAATTTAATAACCCTCTCAATGGAATTTCTATCATTATCATGTTCGTCTAAACAACATGAACGATGGTACTACGTAAAACTTAAATATTCGAAAAATAGTAGAATGTTCTTCTGATATTGCGCAATATTATTTCTAAATGAAATATTTCCAATTTTTACGAAAAACAAGAGCAAAAAATATATGTGTTAACAAAATTTATTCACAATCATGCAAAAAACAAAGTTTTTAACGTGCTATTGCGCAAAAACCATTATTCACAAACACACGCACACGCAAGCTCAAAGTTAAGTGACTATACATAAACAAACTATGTATAAAAAACAAACAAGTCGTGTAAGAACATTTGATAAGTATAATGCATAGATGTATTCATGTAGATTAAAGAAGAGAAAGAGAGAGAAATAAATAAGATGAGAAAAAAAGAATAATTCGTACACATATAAGAAACCCAATATATCTGAATATAGACACACACACACACACACACAGAGCATATACAAAATATAAAAAATTCATAGGACAAATATTTAGAAAAAAAAGACTGTATGAATATGAGTTCAGAGAAGAAAAAGAAAAAAAAACAAGAGAGCACACCGAGTGGAATAAAGACTAAATTATTTTTGATATTTTTCTATCTAATGTGAACTGAACCAAACAAATTCTTCTTTTAAACATAATGATGACATTGATAAGCATTATTGAATGGTTAACTGTTACGTTTAATACTTTCTTTTGCGGCACTGATCAATGGTACAAGATTAACCAGTGGTTTGGCCATTTTTAAAAATGGATGCTAAACAGTGAAAAATAAACGAGTCATTTTAACCGTTACACAATAAAACCAAGAGAATATTACTTGTAATAATTGTGATGCCATTGCACGTTTGTCAACATCAACTTCTAAACATTGATCAAGAAAATCTTCGAATAGTGAAGATAGTTTTTCACGACCAACAATATCTGGTTTTCCATTTGTTGCTATTAGATATAACGCCTAAAAAAAGCCGCCAAAAATAAGTATAACAGCTGTTGTTCAAATTATTGTTTTTATCAAGTTTTACTAAGGCAATTATAAGATCAGAAACAAAAATAATTTACTTACTCTCAATGGGGACTCATTTAAATAAGGTGGCTCTCCTTCAATCATTTCAATAGCCATAATTCCCAGACTCCCTAGAAAATAAAATAAAATAATACAATGACTTTAGAAAAACAAATCCGATATTATCATGGGAGGTAATGGTTATTCACTTTTACTTTTTAATTTCTTTATCAGATAAAGAAAATTATCCATTTACTTTTTGAAAAAGAAAGCTAAATAAAGTCTTTATTTACGTTTTAAAAAGTCAATAAGGAAATATCGATTTATTTTTCTCTTATGAAGTAAAATCTCCTATTTTCATTAGAAAATGGTTTTAAATCGATGGAAAAATGAGCTGGTGATGAATACGCGTGTAACAATAAAGAAAAGACTTCTTAATTTATTTGATAAAGAATATTTTCGATGCTTGTTCTTCAATGTCAAAAATAAACAAATTACCTTGTCAGTAGTGAGAAAAATGTCATTTCGAAAGCACAAATATAAACGATTTGTGCATGGTTAAAAATCTTTTTTTTCACTCATACATATGTAAGTTGTCGCTATATGAGTAATTTTGCTCTACTTTCAGTCCGTTGGTAGTAAGCATCCTCACGAAATATGATGTTTTAGAGAATATGATGAGTGAGTTTTACAAAAGTGTCTACAGAAATGTTATGAGATCTCTGATGTCAAATGTCACTAACAGTGTGTCATCTACCATATTACATGTTTGAAGATGTCTAAAAAATAAAATTATCTTCTGACAGACTTTTACGTGTAGAAGCAAAATAATTTTAGAAAATTTCAAATATTCTTCAAACTTAAATAATTTTTTTTTGTTTTTGTTTAGGCATCGTTTCTTTTTCTAACAACAAACTTCTCGTATTTTCTTTGATATACGGAAGAGTAGTGAATAAATAAAATAAAATTCTGATAATTCTATTATTCATACTTAAACCCAAAATTTAAAATTTTCTTTTGTTGCGGAATGGCATTTCAAAAATTTTGTATCTATTTCGAAATGTACTTTTTACCCCTTGGTATGTCTACTGAATGATTTGTCGAAAGAGATTTTCTGGTATCTACATGCATTTATCTTTGCCATGTAAGCAGTCGATCTTTTAGAATAGCTAGCAAGTGTCTCAGCGAAAGAATTTTTGATGTGTCAGTTTGTCTGGATACTACACATTGGTTTTGCTGTTTTTTAATTAATGTTCGAATGTTTCTATTTATTGCTGTTCCGGCGTCTATGCCTCGCATCAATGTTTGCCTAATGTCAAATCTGACTTATTTAATTAGCGAACGGATCAATTCGGATCAGTAATTGTTCGCATACATAGCTCATAATAACTATTAATGATTTTTTTGCATCATATAATCAACCACTAGCGTTAGCCGTCTCAATCCTTTTCTAACATTGATAAATACATATTTTAGCTCAGCGTACAGTAGAATCGGCTAAGTTCCACTGTTTATTCTTGAAAAAATAAATTTTTGATTTACCTTTTACTTAATAAGTGAAAGTAAACGGCTACTTCTAATTATTATACTTACATATATCAACTTTTGGTCCATATTGTTTTCTAGTAACAACTTCCGGTGCCATCCTAAATGAAAAAACATAAATTAACATATTTGAGAAAAGTTAAAAAAGAAAAATGAACTTACCAATAGGGTGTACCAACCATTGTTTGACGTTTGGTTTGATCAGGTGTAATTTGAGCACAAAAACCAAAATCAGTTAATTCTAGAAAAAAAAATTTATTAACAGTTGATTGTAACTACAAAGTATCTCTAATGAAAAAATGTTAATTAAAAAAAGAATTTTCAAACTAACTGTCCATTAATACACATATTTTGTATTAGTACTTACTGACATTCCCTTCAGTTCCCAACAAAATGTTGTCACTTTTAATATCTCGATGAATGACTTGATTTTTATGTAAAAATTCTAATGCTTGCAATACCTAAGAATAAATTTATTTTTGTGTATCTAATGTATAGTAGAACATGCTTAATTACTTCTCGACAAACAGCAGCAATATGCCCTTCTTCCATGATTGTCTCTGTTACAACATCTGTTAATGAACCACCAGGTAAATATTCCATCACAACCTAAATAAATGAAAATATAAAAAGTGTTAAACGAACTGTAAACAATATCTGTTATTCAATCAGTTTATACCCATAATTCTTCTCCGACAAGATAACTGTCTTTATAATTGACTATATTTGGATGTTTGTTATGTTTCATAACCATTATTTCATTGATAATTAGTTCTTTTTTTGGTTGACTAGCTAAATTCATTTGTTTAATAGCCACTTCTTCTCCTGTTGATAATTCTATTGCTATATACACTGTACCACTCGCACTAAACAAACAAAAATAAAGAAGATCATCTTTTGTATACGCCTCAACCACGATGCTAATTTCCTAAGAGTACATCAGAACTGGAATGAAATATCTATAAAAACATATATTTAAACTAACCCTTGTCCGATTTTTTCTGTTTTTTGATATTTTATATTTGGATTTCCGAGTGATACAATTGTTCGTAGTTTAGAAAATATTTCTTCATCTGTCAGTTGTTTTCGTTTTCCTTTCTCATTTACTGTTGTCCCGTTACTCGTTGTTGTTGTTGTTCTTGTAGCACCAGTAGAATTAGCACATGGTTGTTGTTGTTGTTGACCAACATTTTCTTCATTTACAGGTCTTGTATACTAGAGAAAAAAAATCAAGTAAGAGATTCTTTCTTGTATTTACTCGCATCCAATTACAATGCTTTTTGTTTTCTCTGGTCTAGCGGATATTGGTGGTGGTAAATCGGCATCTTCCATATGCGAGCGACCAATACTTCCGTTTGTATCATCTAGACTCTAAAGTATGATAAAAACAGAGAACACACGATAAGATACATACGAATATAAGAGCTAATAAAGTGCCAACAACACACAAATGACTATCAGATATACGACTGCTACACATTTCTAATAGTCAAGATCTCTTCCAGTATTTAGTCAACACTATCTATACACATCTGCTAACTGAACTTCCAGCATATAAATAAAAATATTCAAAAGAAAACGTATGACTTACCGATGATTTTGAATCAACGAGAATAACAGTCTGTCGAAATTTATCAGCTATATAACCGGATATTGGTGGTGTTAAGTCTAGAAAATATGTTAAAAACAAATAACTTCTATAACGAATGTTTAGATGAGGAATACATACTTTTATAAGACGAATACATGAATTTTGATTCTCGTTTATTATGTTGTGTTTGATAGAAATCAAGTGCATCAATGACAGCTTGTGGATTTTGTTTTTGTTCTTGTTTTGTTATTTTAGAACTTTGTAATAATGATGACCATATTTCAGGCATGCCCTTAAATCAAAAAGTTGTATAAATTTGATCCTAATGTATTTTAAGAGAACATTCTCACATAAACGTCTGTTAGGTATATTCGATTAACTAAAAAATGTGTACACCAATACTTACATCAAATTCTCCCGTCATCGGATTATCTAAGATAAAAAAACAACAACATTATGTTAATCAATATGTACTGAGTGGAAGTATAAGTTACATGTGACATGAATTGGATGATTAAAATTTGTTGGTCTTGATATGATTAATTTGGACGGATCTTTCTTTGTCCAATCTAAATAAAAGTAAACAAACATTCATGAACGCTAGAAACACCCAAATAAATAGATAATACCTTTACTAGTCTTTTTTTTCTTTCCATCATCATCGGGAACTTTTGGTAATGGTTTCATGTCTAAACTCGTTGTTGAACTAAAATAATGAAAGAGATTACATTGTAGACTGACTAGACTACCGTTCAATTTTAAACTTACCTATTTATACTATCAACACGAATGGGTGGTGGAGGGGGACGCTGTTCATCCATAGCATACATTCTAGCTTATCTACAATGAGAGAAATAACTAACTTATCATTTTCTCAATCTTAAAAAAAATGTCAGCATTTATATCTCGAACAATTAACAAGCTTTCTCAATGAAACCACAAAAATTTTTAATTATCTGGAACGATTATTTTTTTTTTTTATTAATCAATATAAAAATAGATTAAGTGGTCAATATATAATAAACCGGATGTATACTGGAAATCAGAGCAGCAGAGAAGCCGACACATTGTCTTAAACAATATTTTAGGTTCAAGATAAACGATTAATTACAGTAACTTGGTTCACTTTTAATCTTAGTCCTCTATCAGCTTCAATTCATTCGCCAGAAATTCATTTTACTTGTGGATTTATAAACTTTTTTAAGAAAAGATGAGGCGATAGAAAGATTTTATTTACATATACAATAGTCTGTAGTCTGATGCACAAACTCTCTTATTTTCGACACTTTTTCTATGTTAGAAAGAATGTAGCTAATTCGTTCCATTGATAAGGTCTTCAGATCTATTTTCTCTTCTTCGATTCTTAGACTAAGAATATTTACTATTCTAAACCATAGACGACGCTGTTTTTGTAAATACTCAATCAACTTCAACAGAAATTCAAAAAAGAAATTTAGTTTCGTACATCTTAATTCGCATTTGAATATCTTTAACTTACTCTGATCACTCAACGCAGTAAAAGTACACAGAGACTTTTTTTTACCAGTCTATACAAACGACTGTATGTGTCGTATTATTTTCATATTTTTGTTTTCTATCCAGCTGTCAATTTTTCCTGCCAAAGGTGGCAGCCGTCCAGTTTTCGAAAAGGTTAATAGTGTTGAATTTATGAAATATTGATGCACCAATTCATCAGACATCAGAGTTGGTTCTAGCGGAGGTTGTGGGAGTTGTATCAACAACAATTCAACAATCTAACAGCCGTTAGATTGTATACAGATAAATGAGAGTTAGACTATTTTTCTTCTGAAATACACAAAAGTTATGATTTTTTTAAAATCATTGTATGTTATGTCTGTAAACTTGTTTTGTCGAAATAAAATATTGTGAGAACGAACTTTCTTCTATTTTCCAAATTATCGCGCATTTCTCACTAGAATTTCCTTCTTTTTAGGTTTAACATGTCGTTGTTGAAAAAGTCTTTTTCTGTCAAAAATTAGCATTTATAAACCAGTTCACTGAATTTTATTAAAAAAGTATTTTATCCCCACAACTAAACATGAAATCAAGTAATGTATACTGTCATCGTTCATATTTTAAAAACTAACAGCCAGATGTGTGCGAAATTTTCTGCTAACCGTCGGTTACTGACTGTTTTTGATGTCTAACACAAAATAAACTATTCTATTTAGTTGGTATTTTCTCTTTCCGAAGTTGAAGCATCGCTACGAATATTTGCTTATCCCTTTATCCAATAAAAACATGATTCATTGCCTCTCTAAAGTTGTTTCTAGCTGCTAAAAATTTGAATTGGTTTATTCGATCCTACGTCGCTACATATGAAAACGAATTGCTATCGACAAGAGATACAGGAGTTTTTGCTCTAAGACAGAACGTAAATTAAGTATGTTCATGCCACGACAGAGGCGGCGGAACCACTAGGCTGGGTAAGGCTTAAGCCTTATCCGGATTTGGCTCTGTTAGGCTGAACCTTATCCTGTTCTGATGCAGAATTTTAAATTTAGCACTATGCTATTTGGATAAAACTTTGCAACATTGGCAGAAACGTCTTATTTATCTAAAGAAAAGACCAAAAATACTTTTGCTGCGCAAATTAAACTCTGCCGTTTTTCAGTGATCTTAAACGGAGAGACCAACATGAGATATGTGCGGTGAAGTCAAGATCTTGAGCGTTGATAGATCCGAAAAAGAACACCGTGGTGTTATCGTTGATGATACCGATCTTTTTTCTCTCAAGACATTGCTGTGTACTGCAGAAATGCTGCTTGTTCTCGAAGAAAAGTCTGAGTAAAACGTGGCTATGAGTGTTAGTTTAGACAGATAATGTTCAAAGAAATATTGATCTGATATTCTGTTCAAATCTTGTATACATCTGAGTAAACGGTATTCCACCCGCTGTATATTAGAATCCTGTAAAAGTTTTATTGGATTCTTATATAAGAATTCTATCAATATCTTACGCATTTGCATCTATTGCTTTATTAAGAGTTGCGATTAGAAAAGTTAAAAAAATTATCAAAGAATCACCATTTAAAAATTAAAAGAGAATCAAACAAAATTTAATCAACTATCTATAAAATTAGAAGATAAATATGAATGTTTTTTGATCAGCGTTTCTATTACCGTTAAAAAGAAAGAAGGAAAATGTCATTTGGATAAATTAAGCGCTACCCCCGCCAAATACTGTTTACTAATAATATGTTATCGTCAAGAAAAAACAACTAGTTATCTTACAACAGTACAATGTTAAAATAGACAGTAACACTTAAAAGAAAAGTAACTGCAACGGTTACTTTTCTTTAGGTGTTACTGAACAACTACTAACTGAACGGTTAGTACCTAACAAAATTCTTCTTAAACTTAGTGGCAAAAACGAAATTTCGACTATCTTAAATGCCACTCAATAATTAAATGCTACAACCAAGAAACGTGATGTCACGAAAAGAATACTGACACGTTCGATCTTGTTACTGTCCCTTCTTTTTTCTATTACTTGATGTACTTGTGGTTCATGCTAATTATTCTGATAGAAGTATATTTACTAACAGAAAAAATCATTAGGTCATTCAAAGAATGAATTTTGATCCGTTTTTGGCACTTTGACAGTAGTGTGAAAGGTAATAAATATCAGAATTAGAGAATAAAGATGTATGAAAAAGCTTACTAACAAAACGTAAATAAATCATCTGTCACTTTATTTAGGATTAATTTTAATATTTAAATATTTTCGATAACCATACATATCATGTTCAATATCTTCTTTTCGAATATGTCGTTTTTGGTAAAAAACTTCAGCTACTTCCGATGTTAATGGATCTAATTGTGATTGTGCACAAGCTCGCATATAACCATCAACCAAATAGTAGGCAACCCATTTAAATTCTCCATCTAAATCACCGTGAGTAATGCAATTATCAGTATCCGTTACATAGCCACAATAGCGAATTGTTGTTTTTTTATTTTGAGATGTCCAATAGACATCAAACAAAGATGGGAAATGTAAGAAAATGTATTTACAATTTCTTACATTTTACAATCTTTCTCAGCTGACCAGAAGAAAATTTTCTTCTGGTCAGCTGAGAAAGATTGTAAAATGTAAGAAAATGTAAGAAATTGTAAATACATTTTCTTACATTTTCCATCTTTGTTTGATGTCTAATAAATGGAAACAGTGAAAAATTCTTGTTTCAATGGGCGTTCATTTTGTGGATTTGGATTTGACGAATTATAACCTAGAACAATAGAAAGAGGAACCTGAGAAAGCTTTTCTTATTTTTTGTTTTTCTTACCTAATTTATGTAAAATTGTATCAGCTGCTTGATGACGTAAAGCAGAAAAAAAAGATATATTTTCTGTAATTAATAGTCAGCTCTTTCAAACCTTCACTACAAACCATTTGCCAATGTTGACGTCGAACGCCTTGATCATAGTTAAATATTTTCAGTGGAAATTCAATAATATCTCCAACAGCCAACACGTTTTCAACGGATGTTTCTAAACCATCATTAACAGGTATATAATTATTCTTGATCATATCAGTTGATGAATTTTGATATATTTCAGTGCATGGTTCCGATCCAATAGCAATAATGGCCATATCACATGCAACCGATTCACCATTAGACCTTTCCATTTTTCTTTTTATTTTGTTATTTTATCTTATTTTTCTTCTTCTAAATGATCGTAATTAATGAACATGAGTTTACGACAAAGGACTGGTTTTTGAGACGAAACAGATTTCTTTTATTCGACCGACCGGTCAAATTAATTTTCTTTTGGCCGATCGATCGACCGGCTGGTTGCCGGTATCGGTTACATCTCTGATGTGCTCCTTCTGCACGTAAAGATATAACTATGATGAACAGTCTGCTTATCCAATGTGAATACACTAACCAAAAAAATTAGAGAGTAAAACAAGGGCCATGTGTGTGACGCATTCAGCTTGGGTTTAATGCTCATAAATGCTTCATTCTTACGTCATTAACTGTCCATTAAGCGATCATTTTTATGTCGTTCGAATGATGTAATTACGGCTGTAAAATGATGTAGTCGACTGAATCAATTGTAGGAGTCAGTTAATAACGTAAGAATGAGGTACTTATGATTACTAAAAGACCAGTGTATTAGTTATCTGATAAATGACTAAAAAATACATCATAAACGTCTGAATAATGATCCAGAAATGAACATCAATGAACGATCATTTTTATGTAGTAAAAGAAGTGATCTAAAATACGAAAGAACAACGATACCATTTATGGGATAAAAATCATGTAAAAATGATCATTAATGATCAAAAATGGCTAATTAATTGCCAATTAATGTTTTACTACAAGGGTATATTTTGCGATCTTCGTTTTTCGTCGTTTTTGGGGTCCTTTCAACCACTTCCGACAATTCATTTGTGAATATGCTCCAAAACGCAAGTTAGTGCCAGATAGTCCAAGTGGCGTAGTATTCGACTGACTATGTCGATTTGTATAACAAGTGTCTTCGGAACAATTTTTAATACAAAATATAATTTTTAAAATGCTCCATTTTCACGTTTTCTGAACTTTGAGACGGCCTACACCCCTAGTGAAGTGCCTTTTTCAGATCAAAGCTATAAATTTGAGTAGAACAACGTGTGTTCTGTGCAGTAAAACTCGTGCTTAGTCAAATACTTTAACTTTTCATAGAAGAATTTAGCGAAAAAGTACCACCATTATTAATATTTTCCAATTATTGCAGGTACGATTTCGCACATGTGCGAAGGTCGAATCCACAGCTGTTTTTGGGTTCAGGTAGTATTCGACCTATACTACTTATACTGCAAGTACGAGCTCTAGCTCTGCTGCGTAGACCGAAATATGATGGATGTAAAATGCAGTTTTCTACACATGCTCTTTTTCGCGGTTTTTAGGAGTTTTACGAAAAATGCCAGAAGTCCTATAGGAATCATTATCAAAAGATTTTGGGCATCTCAGCAAGTACTCTATTTTATCCGCTCATCCTGATCCTGTACTTAAAATCAATAAAAAATATTCACTTGGTTCTGAAGGCTTCAGGGAAACCATTCTAGAAATCAAATTATTTTCAGCTGTTTGTTTCAACATTTATTGAGCTTTACGATATGCTGCAGATAAAATGAAGTATTTCTAAGTCCTAAAGGAATCATTATCTCGTCAAATATTTTGGCGTAGATATGTTGCCTCTGTCACACATAGGAATTTGAGCCAAAAGTTCTAACGTCGATTGAGCATCGCACAAGGAAACCGATCGTTCTTTCCGTGCAAAGGCTCCTAAGCGCATCTGAAAACGCTTTTATATAACCAGTTTGGAACGCACCTGAGCGCGATCTTAACGCGCATGCAAAACAAGGCGGCTAAGCTCTGAATTACACGGTATTCCATTCCTAGGGAAACTTCTAGTCTTTTACTCTATGTGTGTCTTATATCTCTTTTAATTAAAATGTGTTTACATTTCATAAACAAGGTCGCACTATTTTTTTCTCTTCATCTATTTAACAATGCTTGTTCTATATTGGGAAATAAGTGGCTATCTACAATACACGTGTTTGTGTGTGTAATTAACAGTTAGAAAATCTCTCTCTTCTAACTTTTCTGTGTTTTTTAATTATTTTTCTACTTTCTAACTTTTAATTACATTTCGGAAACACGTATCATCAGAAATATATGCGTTTTCAGAAACTTACACCAATGATAGCATCAAAAAGCACAAGTTTTTTGAACAAGAATACCCTCTCTGAAGTGTGTGCTTTGAGGCTAATCTCAACATGTTTTATCCGGCTTTCTCCTCGGGAATACGACGTAATTCATTTCGGATTCGACTAGAGATTGAGCTTTGAAGTAAATACACAGCAATTTTATTCACATCTCTTAACTTTCTCTCAATTGCTATGTACTTTCTTTAAGTTATCATTCAGCTTATTTATTCAATTTTTCGCATCACTTTTATATATCTATACGCGTGTCTTCACTGAAGAACAAAATATTTTTTCTCTTTTCTCGATTCAGTTCGATTGAACGTGTGCTCTGCATTTGCCAGCAATGTGAAAAAACAAGGGAGGGGAGATATCCTTAGGCACTGCAGGGACTCCAGCTTTTCACTTCGGTTCTCGTGAAGGAAGGTCCCTAACTGATAAATCGCTTTTAAGTCGAAATCTAGTGGATTATAGGTTATCGACCATAGGCGTTCCCCATAGCCCTTCAAAGATCCGGTCTTCTGCAAAACCAGTTTTTCAGGATCTCCAAAAATAACCCAAACCTTCCTTAACGATACAGGATTGTAGGGTTAATTCTGCAAAGTTAGAAGAATCGTGCATTGTTAAGGAAGGTTTGGGTTATTTTTTGGAGTTTCTGAAAAGTGGTTTTTGCAGAAGATCGGATATTCGAAGGACTATGGGGAACCCCTATGGTCATATTTGGAATCAACATGGTCGATAACCTATAATCCACTAGATTTCGACTCAAAAGCGATTTATCAGTTTGGGACCTTCCCTCGTTTATTCTAAGCTGACTCATCTAGACACAGTGAGTCAGTTCTGACAAGAGTGAGATTAAGCTTCGAAAGTTGAACGATTTTGATGACACGGGTAGATAACCTTTGACGTGCAATAATCAGGATTCATTCATATTCTCGTATAAAATATAGAAGGATTTTTCTATCAGATTCATATAAAAAAATATCGGAGTACTAGACAAAAATTGTACAACTATACTCTCCTTGACTGTATATCGAATATACTAAACTAGACACGCACAATAGACTGGAAGTGATACCCGTCCGATAAATATGTAATTATTAGAGCTCAGAAAGAAAAAGAACTGGAACAGAAGAACGAACACTATTTTCTCCATCTCACTGAAGCTCTGTAGAAATACATGTGTATGTATACTTGTTACACGACAGGAGAGAAAAGAAAAAGATTGTATTAACGGAAGAAGTTCTCTACTATTGACTGTTTTAACAAATCCAATCATTAAAACGATCACTTTTCATTACAGATGAGTCCAATAATAACCATGTTTGATGATTTCTACAACGATTTAATATTGTGCGTCTTCGATTTTCTCTCATCCGTCGACATTCTCTATTCGTTCTTCACGTATAACCAACGACTGACAAGTCTCATTCTAACTCAACAGCGATACATTAATAATCTCAATTTTGAGCATGTTTCATTCGAAATGATGAAAAATTTATGTCAACATGATGCTCTTTTGGCTATGGGCGACAAGGTACAATCATTGGTGGTGGGGAGTCACCATCGTCGAGGTCAACTCGATCAATTTCCTGTCAATATTCTTTCAGCGCTTTTTCCAAATTTAAAATCGCTTTGCTTGTCTCATGCAAAGACGATTGAATCGATTAAAATCGATTTTCGGCATTTGAAACAACTGCATATTCAACTCGATGATACATCTTCAAATGATTTCCCTAGACGTTTGTTTAAAATGGTTTTGTCCGATCAATGCAATATCGAAATATTTGGATACGAGTCGCAGTATTTTGATCGAAAGTGGCTACCAGAAACAACAGTCTCATTAGCTATGCGACGTTTGACCTTCAAAACATACGATTTTAGTCATTTATCAAGTATAACGAAACACACGCCCAATCTCGAGTATTTGAACGGTATCGCTACTGACTTTTACTTTGATGATTTATCACCGATCAATCTGCCACATCTCACTGATTTGGCACTCGCCGATGAAATGCGACCAAAACAGTATGGCAGGTACCAGATTTATCGTGCAGACTTTGATCTAATAACAGCATTTATCGAGCAGTTTGCTGCTACACTGACTAATCTGTCTCTAAACATTCCTCATTCGAATCAGGACGAGCAGATCTCGATAGAGAAATTAACATGTCGACTAAAAAAACTGAAATACTTTGATTATTATATCAAAACATCCCACTCGTCGTACATTTACTCGATGCCGTTTGCATTTAAAACATATTGTGGTACTCAGTCAAACGTCGGTGATTCGAGTATGTGGACAAATGTCGAACAAGTTAGCATGGATTGGTTTATTATCGGGAAACCCGAGTTTGGTTGTTTGAAGAATGTTAAACGATTGATATTGACGGAGCATTATTTAGCAGAAATGAAAGATGATGTTCATGCTCGAATCGAAGATGTTCAAATTAACTCTTGTTGTGAGCTAAGTGTGATAGAGGAGTATTTGTGGAATATGTTTCCGAGATTACAGATGGTGGAAGTAAACTGTAGTCATCGATCGTATGACAATCATACGATCATCGCAAGAACACTGCTAAGCATGCTGAATAAGCTTGTCTCACTAACTTTTGCCTACGTGCCGAGTGGTAGCTGCGATATGGTTTGTCCACTTCCGACGATTGAAGCAGTAGTAACGTCTGTGTCGAAACTTGATAAAGAACGTCAAATTACTAAGCAATTTCAGATGGTAGTCAATGAGAAGGAGGACTATTTACAGTGGTGGAAATAAACCGTAGTTAAGAAAAAATACTTGAAAATATTAATGAATTTTTAATATTGAGTGCACATATGAAACAAGGAAGTTTTCGTAAGCAAAATGTGCAAAAAAAAGCCCAAAACGTTACTAGAAGTAATTCATGCTCTGAACTATTCAGCTATTCGTTAAGAAATATGCAAGCAGTCTACGATCTGGAAGAATCGAATCGCGGTAGTCGCTACTGCCCAGTCAGTCATAATCATTCTAGAAAAGCGCAGGAAACTCTGTTTACGAAAAATTTTTTACGCGTTTAGCGAGTTTCGAATAATAACGCGCAAGAAGCTGAGAGTGTGTAAAAATAACCGCAGGAGACGCACGTTGCCGTGGAAACAAAGACTTTACACGCGTGTTCCTGCAGTTTATTATTACACACTCGCAGCTTCTTGCGCGTTATTATTCGAAACCCGCTAAACGCGTAAAATTTTTCGTAAACAGAGTTTCCTGCGCTTTTCTGGGATGACTATGACTGATCGGATGCAGGATGTTTACTAACATCGCGTTCTTTCGCTTCGAAGATAGGTTATTATCTTCTCAGCATTTAGTGGAAATCGTAGTTTTTTGTTTCATTTTCACGAACCGCTTCGAGGCATTACGAAATAAGTTCAGTTGCATGATCACAGGAAAAAGAAAAAAATCCTTTTCTAGTTTTGCTATGCAACGTCAATACTGCTAATTCCAGTCACGAATTCTGGGTGCTAATTTCACCTTATCAGGAGTGATATGAAAAAATACTGTTCATTTTCTCGTTGAAAGTCTTCCTAGAAAAAGTATAAAATATCCTTATTCATAAACTTATTAATATATTTACAAGCTTGTATCCTTTATATGAAGGTCTTACATATTTCAATAGATTATTTTCTTCTATCAAATTCTGTTGTAAATTATATATAGACGTAGTGGCGGAGCCAGGAGTTTGATCTAGAGGGGACTCAGCCCAGAAATTTTCTAAAGTCCGTCAGAGGTAAACTCATTTAAATTTAATGCTCGAAATCTATAAATTTTTTAGAGGGCGCTCAGAAAGTTTTAGAGGGGCTCAGCCTCCTCTCGCACATAGCTGGCTCCGCCACTACATAGACGTATATATCAAAAATATTCAGTTGCACCAAAGTGCATACTTTCGTTCTTCTTCACAGCGCCTGTGCTCAATTTTACTGACGATCTTTTATCTGCCTTTCTGTGGTTGTTCGTTCTTTTGCCTCACATGTAAATCTATTGCTCGAGAAAACGAAAATAATTTTCAAATAAATGAAGCGCTTGTATATCGAATAAGAAGTACTAAAGTTATTCTTATATTAGAGTGACCACAATAAAAAATCTTCTCAGTATTCTTGACGCTCTGCGGTTATTTTCCACCGAAAAACAGGGGATATTTCACAGGTAGGAAAATTAAAAGAGACAGTCATTTTTTCTGTATAAATGCTTTGGCATAATTATGATCATTCTACTATTTTTTATCGGGTAATTATGATCATTCCGTGAAAATTACACGGAATAAACAGAATTTGATGTGCGCCTGTCTCCAGAAGCCGGCTTTTAGTCGAACGAAACTTCTTATTCGCTGTAAAAATGAGACTGACCATATTTCACTGTTTCCCGTGTTTCTTTTCTATACCAATATTGTTTAATCGTTAGTCTTGTTCCATTAATATAATGATATTGTTTTTCTAAAATTTGTTTGACTGTTTCACAACTAATTAATCAATTAAATTAATTTTTTCAACTTTAGTTTAAGATGAGTTGATAGCCCGTGCCTAGGACTCAGATGGATATAAAACTCAAGTTCTTTTTAGAACCATATGTGACTCAAAATTCTGTAAGAAAAAACTGGATCACGGCGCTACCAAAAATGTCACAGCGTTACTTTATAAAATCGACTTTTCTAAGCGTG